GAGAGACAAATGTGGGAGACAGATGGAGGCAGGAAAATTAGGGAACTGGTGGAGTGTAAGTCACAGATGACTCGTGAAAGTGGGAGAGGGGTGGGGGCTGAGGAAGGAAGAGCAGATGTGGTCAGGTGTTGGTCTAGAGAAGTTCTTAGTAATGAAATATACAACTCCCAGCGTGGGTCCTGGCTGCATTCCTGCAGATTGTGGAGGGAGAGGAGGGAGTCTGAGGCCAGGCTGAACCACAAAGTTTGTTCCAGTCTCAGCTACACGGGTCCTGTTTGCAGAAAGAAGGAAAAAGGAAAAAGACTGTTCAAGAACAGTGGGAAGGAGTCCCAGCGTAGAGAGGGATCTCCTGAGCGGCCCTGAGCCACCAGAGATGAGGAGTGGACAGTCAGGGGAAGGGGACATATAAAGGGCTGTTATGGCTCGCACAAAGTAGGCAGTGGATGGTGCTTGGATGGAGCCGAGGGAAGAGGCTCAAAAGGTGACACCCTGAACCAGCACACCACCAGGGAGAGTCCCGGACACGCACCAGGCATGTGGCCAGTCGTGATGGCTAGTGTTTACTGTCAGCTGCACGGAACTAATAATCACCTAGGAGACGGGCCTCTGGCACACCTGTTGGGGGTTGTCTTGGTGGCACTGAGATGGGGAGACCCAGCCACTATGGACAAAGACATTGCCTGGCTGGAATCCTGGACTGTGTAAGCGGAGAAAAGAAGAACACACACCCATTGCTGTTCCACGCTGGCTAGAACATGACCAGCTAACTGGAGTTCTGACCTCCGACTTCTCCTAGATGGGGACTATAGCCTTAAATTGTTAGAGCTGAAATAAATCCTCTCTCCCTTAGTTGCTTTTGTCAGTATTCTGTCACAGGAATCAAACAAGTATCTAAGCCACCAGCCACATATTTTAAGAGGGTGGTGTTGGCCAGTCCTCATGCCATTAAAGTGCTTGCCATGTGAGCATTAGGACCTTAGTTTGGATCCTAAGTACCCACATACAAAGCAGGGTGTAGCTGTGAGGGTGGAGCCTCAGGCTAGGGAGGCAGAAGCAAATGGATCCCTGGAATTCACTGGACTGTCAGCCTGGCCACATCAATGAAGCTCAGAGTCAGGGAGGGCCTCAAGTTTAGTCCTCAGTTCCAAGACACAGAGAGAGAGAGAAGAGAGAGAGGGGGAAAGAGGGAGGAAGGGAGAGAGAGAAGGAGGGAGTGAGCAAGGGAAGGAAGGAGGGAGAAAGGGAGAGAGGAAGAAGAGGAGGGAGGGAGGGAGGGCGGGGGGGCGGCGGGGGGGGAGGGAGGAAGAGAACAAGCTGGGTGGTGGCACAAGCCTTTAATTCCAGCACTTGAGCACTTGGGTGGCAGAAAGGCAGGTGGATCTCTCTAAGTTCAAAGCCAGCCTGGTCAACAGAGTGAGTTTCAAGACAGCCAGAGCTACACAGAAAAACCATGTCTCAAACAAACAAACAAACAAGGGGGGTTGGAGAGATGGCTCAGTGGTTAAGAGCACTGGCTGCTCTTCTTCTAGCTGTCCTGAGTTCAATTCTCAGCAACCACATGGTGACTCACAACCATCTGTAATAAGATCCAATACCCTCTTCTGGTGTGTCTTGAAGACAGCTACAGTGTACTCAGACATAAAATAAATAAAACAAACAAAGAAACAAACAACAAAACTAACAAAGACAAAGCAAAACACCTGAAAAAAAAAGTGGACAACTGAGAAACAGACAAGATGTCAACCTCTAGCCTCCAAATACATACACACGTGTACTACACACACAGATGCAGACACAGAAGTACATACATACACCACACAAACCCAACAGATAAATAAGTGAGCAGGCATAGTGGTGCATGCCTGTACTGACAGTACTTGGAAACCAGAGGCAGGAGGATCACCACCAGTTCCAGTCCAGCCTGGTCTATACATTAAGTTCTATGCCAGCCAGAGCTATACAGTGAGACCCTATCTAAGAAACACAGGGCAGTGGGGAGTCAGGGGATGTAGCTCAGTGCTTGCTTCGCATGCAGAAGCTCGGGATCTGTACCCACTCACCTGTTATCTCAGCATCTGGCTGGTAAAGGCAAGAGGACCCAAGTTCAAGCTTAACATCAATTACATAATCTCAGGCCATACTAGGATGTGTGAGGCCATCTCCAAATACACAGGTAAGAATCCTGGAAGTGTGACATCACCTTCCATTCTCACTGTTAATACTTCTCAGGCTATGCAATCTAAAGTATAATCTCCTCCTCTTTGTAAGTTTCATGGAAGATACCAGACTGGGCAGAGAAGCCCTTGATATGGCCATCTTGGGAAGACAGGCCACACAGATAAGGCAGTAGATAACTGTAATATACTGAGCTCTTAGACAACAGGGCTGGCAAAAACAAAGGTGACATCTTTTTTTTTGTTTTGTTTTGGTTTTTCGAGACAGGGCTTCTCTGTGTAGTCCTGGCTGTCCTGGAACTCACTCTATAGACCAGGCTGGCCTCGAACTAAGAAACCCACCTGCCTCTGCCTCCCAAGTGCTGGGATTAAAGGCGTGCACCACCACTGCCTGGCAACTAAGCCACATTTTCAACACATCCTCATATACTTAGAGCAGAGCCTCCTCCATGTACCTCATGCTTTCTTTGCCGTCTCAGTACTATACCCCTCAGTACTATATAAACAGCCACACACATATCCACATACCCATTAACATACTATTTTATATGCATTTATGCACACACCTAGGACCTCCTCAGTTTGGTAGTCACATGCATAAATACACTGGCATACACTCGGATAAAAAAAAAAAGCCAAATGTACACTCTACATCAACATAGACTGCCTGCAGGTACTACCTAGTACTCCAAATGAGAAAGCGGTGGCCAACGTCCTTGTCAGGCCATGCCATGCCAAGCCTCTTGTGTATGGGTGTGTGTACTTGTTCATGTGTGAATAGTCCTTGGGGTCGAGGCCCTAGGTTGGCAACAGGATAGATAACTGTGGAGATGGTTGGGAGTAGGTCAGCCAGAGACTTCTTTCCTCTGATATCTTCCTGTCAATTCAGAAACTGAGCAGAAACACACTGTCTGTCAGGTTTAACTGCCAATCCACAGAGGCCTCAGTAGGGGAATGGCCTGAGGCTTCCCCTGTCAGGACAAAGACACTCGGTAGTAGGTATCATGGATGGAGGACCCAAACTGTAACCCACAGCAGGGTCTCCCTTATCTTGAGTCTCTTCAATGGTAGGGAAACGAGTCTTGGAGTTAGTAGTAGGGAGGCTATTTCTATCTCCCTATGGAACTTAGATGGCCCCAGCCAAGGTTGACAGGAGACAATTGGCTTCTCTCTTAATCCTTCAGTAGAGGCCTTGGGTGTGTGTAAGGCTGGCTTAGACCTCATCTGAGATGAGGGGTTGGGTTGTTTTCTTTTTTAAGACTCCCAGAAAACATCAAATCACCTCACAGGCTCTAACTGGCCCAAGGTCCTGCAACATAATTTCTTCCCAAAGACCCCTTCCCCACAAGGGGTCAACAACTTCATCCAGGGCTCATCCAGGACCCTTGTAAGAAAGAGCTAGAGGTAAGGGGCAGCAATTGGAGTGGGGGTGTCTGAGGAAAGACAGCATCTAAGATATTAGGGATAGGGTGGGATGGATTCCTAGGAAGAAAGTTTGGAACCTGGGATGAAAGGCTCAACTCAGGACAGCTCCACTGAGAAACAGGAGGAGGAAGAAATTCCTGAGAAAGCCTGCCTCCGCCCAATGGAGTCTGTATGTGTAGCCCTGGAAGTCACTATATAGACCAGGCTGGTTTTGAACTTATAAAGATTCTCTTGCCTCTGAATGCTACCATGCCTGACAAACTTTATTAATGACTAACCAGGACACTCTCAAACCAAAAAAGCTCTTTATTGATTGGTACCATACATGACTCAAATGGCCAAAAAAAAAAAGAAAAAAAAAAAGAAAAGAAAAAGAAAAAAGAAAAAGAAAAAAGAAAAACATGGAAAAAAAAAAGAAAAAGAAAAAAGAAAAATAGGGGGAAAAACATTAGTGGGGACAGGACATCCACTTCACCTCACCCTTTCCTTTGGCTCCTGATAGCATCCTCCCAAAAGTGGCTAGCATGGAGGACACAGGGCCCAAGGGACCCCATAACCCAAACGGGAGACTGAGGAGAGAGGAGGCACCCACACACCCTGGGACTGCCCACAGGAAGAGGCAGCAGAGCCATGAGCCATAGAATCCTGCTCTTGGCCTCTCCTCACCCTGAGCCTCCCTCCATACGCTCCAGTCATGAACTGGAGCTGAGGACACCGGCTGCTGCTCCTCGGTCTGAGGGAACACGGAGAGGAATGTCTGCTTCAGCTTGGGGGAGGACAGAGGCCTTTTTCTCCCTAATGGGCGTAAGGTGGACAGCCTCAGTGGCTCCTTTCCCTCAGTCAGAGGTTAGGACTGGATGCAGTTTGAAGGGCTGGGAGGAAAGTTCTGGAGTAGAGTGGACAAGGTCCACTCATCCTATTCCTGACACACTGAGACAAAAAACACAGTGACAAACAAAGCAGTTCCCTTCCCTCTGTGCTCCCCGAGGGAGGGAACCTTCCCACCCATCCGAAACAGCTGCTCTAGTAGAGGATTGTAAAAATACACACTGTGGAGGGGTGGGGCTAGAGGGACTCACAGGACCGAGGAGGCCAGGCCAGAGCCCTGGAGGTTGGGGACACAGACAACAGGGGGTTGTCAAAAAATGTGGTCACCAATGATCGATCTCATCCCCAACCAATGACATGCTGCTCCAAACTCATTGCCCCAGAGGGAGGGAAAGAGAAGAGAGATGGCGAAGCATCTCTGTGGTCTGAAGCAGCTCAAACTGTATAAAATGGTATGCATAACCCCTGCCCAATGCTCACCCCCCAACTGGGCCCTAGGCCCTCCATCTGCCAGGAGGGAGGTAGCTGGATTTTCAACAGGGGAATGGGGGAACATGAGTGACTTTTTTTTTAAATTTACATTTTTAATAATATTATTTTTTTTTAAAAACTTGGAGCTGGGTAAGTGGCAAAAGGGAGGAGCCCAGAATTTTACCCTCTGTTGACAGCCGCCTAGGGGAAGGGTGTTCAACCAAGGCCCCAACAGTTAGCCCCTAAGGGCTGTGGGTATAAACCCCAGGCTCAAAGGGATAAATCAGGAAGATGGGGCACCCAGAACCTGGGGTAAGAATGGGGGCAAATGCCCTGGGGAGAGGAGGGTCAGGACATTTCTCAGAGGCCCAGGGTCCACACAGGCATCCACATGAGTACCCCCTTCCCCCAAAAGGCTCTGCAGGGGCCAGGCCCAGCCCAGGGCAACTGGGGGGCAAATCTTGGCACCTGCCCCCAGCGAGTCCAGTCCCTCCCTGAAGTGGGTGGATGGAGGTTGCCCATCTCAGATGCCCAGTCTCTTCGTTCTGTCTTCGGCTCCTTGGAGCTGTGTGGGGTAGGCAGGCAGAGCGCTGGGTGGCTGTGGTAGGGCCTTTACTGGGAAGCCTGTGACGTGGGGTTCTCCGACTTGCTTTCTTGGCTGGATGGAGGCTTGCTGTTCCAGGGGCTGTTGGCGCCCAGCGCCGGGGAGTTGTTAAAGCTGTCCTCGTCGTCAATGCCGTTGGCCGCATCAAACTGGGTGTTCTCCAGCCGCGTGATGAGCCTCTCGTCCTCGTCCCCGAACTCCCCGCCCATCAGGGTGGGCTCCCCCACCACCATCACATCCTGAGAGTGGCGGAGGTCCCCAAACATAATCGGGGCAGGGGCTCGCCCGACCCAGGGCAGCAGATATCCCCAGAGCCCCCATACCCTCCCTAGAAGCTCAACACCCCGACCCCTCTTCATACCCAAGTTTAAAATCCCAACTTCTTACACCCTCAGCTCCTGGACTCCTTCCCACAAAAGGACTCCAGAGCATCCTAGCCTCTGGCCTCTACCCACTGGATTCCGGAAAGAAATATCCTTTTACTCCCCTAGCCCCCTAATCCATTTCCCTCAGATTTAGGGGACCCTTAAACTTCTGTCCATAGTATGTAAGAGTGAGCAGATAAAAAATGAGGGAGGTGGTGACTGTGCACATGCACACATGTGCATGTATTTACTCTCCCTATGCAACATCCAACTCTGCAGGTCCTTCCATCAGTGTGAGTGTATTCTGACGGTATGTGCCTGCCCCACAGAATCTGCTCAGAACGCCTTAGGTTCTCACAGCTGATTCTGACCCATGCTCTGTGTACCTATGGCTGAGCTTCTGTGATCACAACCATGCATGTATGTGCCTGGCAAAGATTCTCTCATCAGTGGAAGGAGTCGGATCATGCTGGCTCTAGAGTACACAGGGAAAACTGTCTTTGCTTCTATGCCTGCCAGTAAGCTCAGGCTCAGACAGGGGTCAGGGGTGAGCAGTGGGGCAGCCCAGAAGAGAAGAAAGCCGAGATGCTTACAGGTACCTGGCTGGAGAGAGCGAAGGTGCTGGCTGGACTCTTCTTCTTGCTGTTGCTGTTGTTGGTGTTGCCACCCCCCGAGCTCATGGTGCTACCCCCTGACATCTTCCTTTTCCTCCGTTTGCTGGGTTGCTGTCGTGCAGGCTCCGCTGTGCCAGAGAAAGAGGGCGAAGACTCAGGTGGGAGAGGGCCCTGGACCCTTATTCTCCATCCCCATTCCTCAGAAGCCTGCCTTTACCCCTTTCTCAGTCTTATAGTCCCAGGAGTAAGAAAGGAGCAGAGGGAACTTCATGTCAAGAGGAGATAAAAGCTACAGCCTCAGGCATCCTGTCAAGAGCCTGGTGAGGGCTGGGGCAAGGCACTCACCGGGAGGTGCTACCATGCGCTGCCACTTCTGGAAAAGGCAGGTCTTGAGGCAGTCTCGGGGGCTGAGGCTGTAGGTCTTGTGGCGGGACATGAGTTCCTGCATGGGCTCGAGTATCACACAGAGCTGGGGGTAGACCAGAAGGAGCATTAGGCTGACGGCAGAGACTTGGAGCTCAGATAAGACAGGTGGGACAACACTGGTCATCAGACTTACTCGGAGGTAGTTGAGAGTGGAATTGGACAGCCCACACCGGGTAATGTTTTTGGAGAGCTGATCCAGCATCTGGGGGTCTTGGGCCTAGAGAAGGAGAAAGAACACTGGCATCTGGTCACCTGAGCATGTGACATAATGAGAGAAAAGGACTAGTATTAAACCCATATCTCCTCTCTGCTCTCAAGTTCAGAAAGCAGCATAGCCACTCAGCCCCGCTGCTGCTACCCCCACCCCATCCCCCAAATCTTAGGTCCTGCCAACAACTCACGTGCATGGCCAGGATACTCCTGGGGATGAGCTCTCTGTGCTGCCGGATACTGAAGTGCCATGTCTTTATCCGCATCATGTCGTCAAACATGAACTCCAGGTACAACCGGCCTTCCACACATACCTGGGGATAGGTTTGTCACATCCCTGCCCTCTTTCCCACATACGCAAAAATGTGCCTGTTACAGCTCTCCCCTCAGCTCACAACTCTCCCCCTGCATACACTTGTGCTACCTGTGCGAGTATCTGGGTGCATAACTGTTGCAGCACGCCCCCTCCCCATATACCTGTCATACCTGGCCTTTACACACTCACATGTACTTACACACCATAGTAGGATAGCTTAACAGATCCTCGTCCTTTTCCCAAGTAGCCAGAGAAAACCCCATCTGCTACAAGCTCTATGAGGGCGGGCTCTCGTTCACCGTAAACCTCGGGGCCCAGAAAACTGACATGAATAAACCAAACAAATATCTGCTGGACGCTCTGCCTGCCCTCCCTTCTCATCTGGCCGCTTCCCATTATGTTATGCCTCCTCGGGGAAACAGCTGGAGTACATGTCGGGAGAGAGGAAATCAAATCCAGGTGCCCTTGGGGTTCCATATCCTGTTGGTTTGCTGACCTGGGTAAACATGGGTTTGCCATGCTGGGTCACCATGCTGCCCTGGTCACAGTCGAGGGAAACAAAGTTGCTGTGGAATGCCTCCTTGGGATGCTTAAGTACGTAATACAGCTCCGTAGCGCCCCCCTCAAAAATGCTTCGGAAGTAGCGTGGTATCAGGGTCCGGCCAATGGCTATAGAGACAGGACAAATTTTTCAGGGCAGAGGTACTTGAAAAAGGACCAAAACAAACCTCTTAGCACTTGCAGACTCACAAACTACAGAGTGTAACGCTGTCTCCCCAGAGGTCACTAACTTGCAGACTCACAAACTACAGAGAAAGTATAACACTGTCCCCCTCAGAGGTCACTCACTATATCTCTTTGGTCCATCCTCCAGGCAGAAGGTGATGGTCAACATGGCATCATCCTCAAAGAACTCAGTCGTGAAAGCATCCCACCAGAGATTGTCACACTCCTGAGGAACCCAGATGAGTATGTGTGTGACAAAGCATCCACAGGGATGCTCACCTGGGCCCCACCCTCACCCCCAGTCTCTATTTCCTCTGCCATACCTCTGTCCAGTTCTGTAGCCGTTTGTTAAGCTCAAATATTCTATAGTCAGTTTGGTTACCATACGGTGTGTGCCTCCTGGGGAGGGAAGGAATAGGTCAGTGGCACAGCCATCCTATTCCCTCCCCTTCTGCTTAGATGCATGCAAAGGAAAAACTTCCTCACTGGCTGCACTCCACTTACCCTATCCCAGGCTCCAGGTATGTAGGTGGGTACATGGGAGTTGGGCTGTGTAAGGGAAGAGATTATGAGAATCATAGTGGAAGAGAAATTACTGGAGAAGGGGAGGCCATTTATGTCCCTTTCCGGGTGGTTTACGGTCTAAGGAGGACTAGGAGGGAGCAAAGAACTCACCCCACATCCCGATCCAGCATGGTGCCGGGATGGAAGGGAGGGAAGGCGTTGCCGTTCGGGGGCTCCTTCGGCGAGTACAGCTTGAATGACTTTGAGGAACAACCTAGTAGAGAGAACGGCACAGTTCCCTGAGCTTCTTGGGAGCTTCCCTAGAAGCCTGGTAGGCCATACAGAAAAGGGCTGCTCTGCTGGAGTCTCTGCCCTGGTTACCAGACAGTGGCGAGCTATGAGACACTCCAAGGACCGCCTCTCACCCCTTCCAAAATCTAGCTTCCATCTTATTAAGAAACTTCGAGTAGGGCTGGAGAGCTGGCCCAGGGGAAAGGTGTGAACCGGTCACTCTGAGGACCTCAGTTTGGTCCCCAGCCTGCCAGGTTACTCACAACCTCCTGTCACCTCAGCTCCCAGGGACATGACACCCTCTTCTGGCTTCTGCCAGCACTTGCACTTGTTTTCACTCACCCCAATACCCTTTTCCCCCAAAATTAAAAATAAAGTAAAACTTTAAAGAAAGGAAGGAAGGAGGGAACGAGCAAGCTGGAAGTATCCAGCCCTCCTTCCAGTTCACGCTCTGTGGCTTTGGCTGAGCCTGAATGATACGTAGCAAGGATGAACGGAAGCAAGGAAGAAGAAACACCACCACACAGAAAAAAGATCAACAGAACGTCGTTACAATCCTGACGAACCCCCTTGTCACCTGCAGAGCTTCATTCAATCCGCATAATTTGATGAGGCAGCAGGGACTGAATAATATTCCCATTTTTAAGACATGGCAACTGAGGGTTCCAAAGGGACTTGCCAAGAACACACCATTAGTAACCGGCCAAGCTAGGACCTAAGCCTAGATATTTTAGTTCCCACATCCTAACCTCTGATCCCTTTTATTGTGTTTTAGTGACTAAGGTGGGGGGCAGAGGGATTTAGGGAATTCTCTGTTCTTCCTCTACCCTGCAGGGTCTTGGGAGGGCAAGGGATAGAAAGATAAGGGGGGCTGCTATGCCTGTTGGGTGTGGCCCACCAGATAAACAGTTGGGCTTTTGGCCTTCCTACCAACAGCCACTCCCTTATCAGCCCAGCCCCCACACCCACACCTATAATGGGTAGAGTATTGTTTCCAGGCCAGAAACTCAAGTCTAACGCTTTTTCTTTTGAGACCTGAGGTGGGAAGGAAGTAGCTGGGCCTCTACTTAGATAGCATTCTACTTACAAAGGGAATGCAGAAAGAAGCCTGGGAGCTCAGTCTAGGAGGCAAACACTAACTAGAAAGAGGTCTCTGTGGTATACATGGGGCATGTGCAAGGGTGCTCCCCCTCCACTCTGTGAAGCAGCATATATACTTCCTGGCATACTAGTTCCTGACTGCCACAGTTAAATTCATACTTGGATAGGAGCCAGTTACCCAGGCAACCCTATTCTTCCCCTCCCCACCAGAAAAGAAGGGAAACTGAGGCATGGCCTCGAAGGTTCTGGCCCTGTTTTCACTTCTACAGCCCCTAAAACTTGACAGTACTTTGAAGGCTACCTGTACTGGCTGCATCTGAGCCTTGCCCCCAAATTTAAAGAGAAGATCTATTTTCCTCCTGGGGGGGGGGGGAAGAGACAAAGGAAGACCCTGTGCCAACATGTGCCATTTAATTTTCTCTCCAGGGGCTCCATGTTACAATGGGGGGGTGTCCCTGAGGGGCCCAGACTACAGTCTCAAAAGGTGCCAAGAGCCAGAGCTTGTGTGTGCCTGCATACGAGTGTGCCTCATCCTGCCTAGCAGGCTTCCACCCTCAGCTCGCCCCAACACGCCTACCCAGGGCTGGAACCCAGCAGCCCCGGGCAGTATCAGAGTGTCCACAAAAAAGCCCTCCTCTTATGCAGAAGCTCTCCCAGAGCCAGGTCCCCACAATCTTAAGCACTTCCCACACTGTTGTCACAGGATGGTCCTGGACTGGACCCGTGTTTCAGGAAAATCACAGTCTCTACTCAGTCCCCGAGACTCTCCACTCAACCGAAAGTTGGAACTTCCACAGCCCACGGAGAGCCAAGCCCAGGTAATGAACCCAAGAGTCTGCTTCCTCAGTCTGCCCTCATCTCTTCTCGGCCTAACTTCCTCTGCCCTGAATGTCTGGACCTCCTGAAGAACTGTATCGGCTCAAGAACTTGAAGAGAAAGAAAACAAGACAGCAGAATTCCTCGTGAGCATTGTTGGGGGCTACAGGTTAAAAGTTCTGGGGAGCTAGAGCCCAAACTCTGGAGCCTCTATTTACACCTCAACTGAATGGACACAAACTCAGCATCTCTCCAAGAGGCATAGCAACTCTCAGTCGCTCCAGCCCAAAGGGGCTGGGAGTGAGAAGGGGGGAGGGACATCACCCTGACCATCTGTCCCTGTTGCTGCCTGTCCACAGGAGGAGGAATACAGGGACCAAAGTGGGGGTAGGAGTGCCCTAGGGTCAACACCTGCCCCTCAACAATCTGGAAGCCTTTAGGAAGGGGTTGAAAAGTTTGCTCAGGTTGGAAGCAGCTCCCGGGGCTGAGAAGGTACCTCCAGTTGAGCATTTCCATGGTAACCAGACTGACCTGAAGGCAGGTCCCCTCCCTTTCGGGGCTGACCATAGATAGGTCAGCATGTTTTTAGCCCCCACGCTAAAAGCTGAGGCACTTCTCCCCCTGCCAACACAGCAGGCCTGGGCTAGACAGAGGGCCTTTTGCCCACCCCAACAAGCTTTTAAGGTGTCCAGACTTACCTGGGAGAACTGAGGGGGTCAGGGGAGGTGCGGGGAGCGCCTGTAAGTCCTCAGGGACCCCGGCAAGGGTGAGGACTAAGGTGGAGGCAACTTCAGCAGCTCATGTCCCGAGTGGGACAGGCCGGTCTGGCTGAGAGCTCCACTCCGCAGGCCGCACAAAGACTCGCATGCACAGCCTCCGCCCGCCCCGCGGGGTCCACAGCCCGGGGGGAAAGTTACAATGGCCACTAGGCCGGGGGCTGGGGGTCAGGGGGCCGGCCTGGGGGGCGGGGGGCCGCGGGGAGTCCGGAGCCTTCTTTGTTTGCAAGGTTTCCCTCAACAATGGCTGCTCGGCTCTTTCCTCTCTCCTCCTCCTACTCCTCGGCTCTGCCCGCCGCCGCCTCTCGCTGCCTCTACCTCCAAGCAGCCCGCCCGCCCTCCCTAGGCCACCGGGCCCCTCTGCAGGGGAGGCGGGAGAAGCAGGGCCCGGCACTCACACTCACTCACACTGGCACACTCAGACACACGCAGCGCCCGCCTGCTCCTTCCTTTCTCCCTTTCTCTCCCTCCTCCCTCCCTCTCCTCCCCGCTCGCTCTCCGAGCCTCTCTCCGAAGGAGGCCCCAGGGCGGGCGGAGGGTGGAGCTGCCCCGCCGGCCCCGCCCCCTCCCCGCGAGCGAGGAGGAAGAGCGGAGGGAGGGAGCGAGGAGGGACTGCTGAGAAAAACAAAAGAGATTGAGACCAGGGGACTGGTGACTGAAGGGATCAGGCTGGGGAGACCAGGACTAAGGGGAGGCCGGGGGAGACCAGCAGCGAAACGTACCCTCCAGAGCCACATGCAGGGGTGAAGGGAGGTGCTGGCCTTTGCAGACTCCTAATATCTTAACCCTGTCAACCAAACCTCCCACAGATCTCTTAGGTTAAAGGCCGGCCAGAGCTGCCACTCTGGGGTCCTCTGGAGAAATCCAAGAGTAGCTAGGTGGGAAGCTTGGAGGTTTACTTTTGACGGAACCACATTTTGAGTTCAGCTTGTCAATACTAAGAAAAAGGCCTGGACACTCCAGGCTTCCCTGCCCCAAACCCAATCAAGTCCCAAGCCCTGGATTAGATCCCCCTTTATAGGGAATACCCTTCCCGGACACCACCCCTGAAGCCACGTGGATGCTAGGGAAAAGTGGTGTTGTCAGGGTAAGGAGGACAAACTTGCCTATCCAAGGGTCTACAGAAGGGCCCTTAAAAGGGACTATAGAATCCTTTTCACTACCCCAGGTCTTAATAAAGGTTATTTGGTTAGTGCGATAGGACTTGCTTCACATCTCTCTTCCTACGGGAAGAGATACTTCTGAAACTTCGGTGGAAGTCCAGGCCTACTACTTTAGACAGGAAAAGGAAACACACACACAAGCACAACTTGAGGAAGGGCCCCCTACTTTTATTTTTTGCAGTTTTGAGTGTGTCCCCTACTACCCTCCTTCCCAACTATATCCATGAACCATCAATCCAAGGATCGGATTTTTCATGGCATACACACAGAAGCAAGAAAATGATACTATTGCACCTGGCTCTGTAAACACGCTCCACACATAAATTACAGTTCTCATCTCACGTAAGTCAGTATCTGATACACACTCCTTAAACCCTAAATACACCCATAGCCCAGAGATGCACATATAGACAAACACGGAGTCAGTTAAGACCCCAGCTTCCATCTATACAGGTGCTAGGCCCATGCATGTATCCTGACCTTACACACCAAAACTGTGTTATTACTTGATGAATCTGGAACACACTGTAACACGGCTATCCTAATCAACTACTATGCAGAGATTCTCCATACCCCATCTTCCCCGGGTATACTCCGTTCTCTATCACAGCCTGCTCATTCTATACCCCAGCTTTCCCAGACACTGCAACCTACGCCATTTTAGTCAGAACCTGCAATAGACAGCCTACCACCAGGATATAAGACATTCCTTTTAGCCTGAAAATTTAGATTCCCAACTCTGAAATAAGAAACACTCCTCCACCAACAACAAAATAATGCCTGTCACTTGTGCCTTCAAACGTTCCAAACTAATCTGGAGAGAGTGGAACACACCTGGAATCCCAGAACTTGGGAAGCTGAGGTAGGAAGATTTCAATGAGTTTGAGAATAGCCTGGACTACACAGAATCCCATGGCCAGCCTCAGCCATATGGAGAGAACATTTCAAAAACAAATACATGTTTTTGGCTGTGGTGACACAAGCCTTTAATCCCAGCACTGTGAGTTCAAGGCTAGCCTGGCCTAAATAACAAGTTCCAGGCAAGACAGGGCTACAGAATGAGACCCTACCTTAAAATAAACACATACATAGATGGAGCACGTGGACCTGGGTGATGGCTATACTCAGAAGGCAGAGGCAGGAGGAGGAAAAAGGAGTTCAAAAACAGCCTCAGAAAAAGAAAAAAAAAAAAACCAAAACTACACAAATAAACTTCCCCAAGTGTGTTGGCAGGCATCACCTGAGTGCACACATAGACACACGTGGACATGTGCACAGGGGATCAAATATACAAATATCAACAGAATGAGTGAGCCAGGAGGGCCTGAGGCTGAAACCTGGACTTGCTGTAAACCCTTTCCTGGAGCCACACAGCCATTCCATTCCCACCCCCTCCAGGCTTCAAATGATGGTCCTCACAGGGATGCGGGAGGTGTAGGTGCTTCTGCCCCCAGTACAGACCTCAGAACCCCCCAACCTGTCTAGTCAGACAGGAGCCACAAGGGGCCTCCCCTCTCCCCATGAGAGGAGCCCTTACGCACCAGGATGTATCAAGACTCTGACCGACTCTGACCTATCATTCAAAAGGCTCTCAGTTCCTTTTCTGTAGCAAGTCTGCTCCAGCTCTGACCCAGTTCCCCCAGTGCACAGGGCAGAAGAGGTCCAGCCAAAGGCATTAAGTCTATGTCAGAAGGCCCTAAAAATTATTTGGGGGAGTGGGGGGGGACAAAGAATGACAAAGGGGAGAGAGGCCTATGAGTACTCCCAGAGGTGGGGACTCAAAGAAAAGCTGCCCACAGTATGAGGTACCAGCACTGCCCCCTGCCCGGGCCCCTGACCCAGGCCTCCAGTGTGCCTGCCCCCCTTCCTTTGTCTGTGCCCGGCCTCCCGTTGGCCTGGCGCTCTGCCATCCTCCTCTCCTGGCTCCCAGCCGCCACCACTGCTGCCTCCTCCCCTCCCCCTACTTCTCCCTGCCTTAACCCTTCTGAGCTACATGCTGCCCTAGACAGGCCTTAGCCCCTTAGCATCCTGCCCAGGGAGACAGATGCTCCTTAGCAAGGCTTATTCCTCTTTCTAGTCATTTAGCCCTAAGGTGTTCTTCACTCTAGGAGCACCAAGGGGGCTGGAGGGGTGTGTACATGTATATCTTGTGGTGTTTCTACATGTGCATTTGTGTGGCTGTGTGTGCTCTGGCTTCCCTCAGTCACATGTGTGGGGCATGTGCTGTCTCTGTCGGGCTGGGGGAGGAGGAGGAGCCCAGAGACAGCAGAGCACAAAGGAGAGACTCAGGCAGGCAGACAGGCAGCCTGCCAGAGTGCCTAGGCCCCAGGACTGCTCTGGGTGGTGGTGGTCCTCAGGCCTAAACTGCTATATGCTGCCAGAATGCCCCTGGTCGAATGAAGCATGTGCTCTTATCCACTCGTGCGAGCCTATTCCTCCCCCTCCTTACCCCAACTCCTACCATTCTCCGCCCCCAGGCCTCTCTCTCTAAGCCCTTTCCCACGTGGTCTCCTCTTGAAGTCTAATGTTGATCCATTCACCAAGACATCAGTCTGTCAGACTTCTTCATAATCAAGAAAAAGACTCTCTCAGTCAGCCTTTGAGCTCGTGTTCTCTCTCCCCCCACCCCCCAAGCTACTAGACATACTGGGACACTAACTAGTTGCACATACACCCCGGGCATGGGTCCTCTTCCTGTCTCCACATCAGCCACAAAGACTAATGCATGTGGGTACTTTGCCCCAATTCCAGGACCAATCTCCCATCTTCCCTCAGCCTGACAACTTCTCCATATAAAACCCCTAAGAATAAAAATTTAAGTTTCAGTCACACAGTGGTAGCGCATGCCTTTAGTCCCAGCACTCAGGAGGCAGAGGCAGGCAGATCTCTGAGTTCCAGCCCTGCAGTCCCCGGTCTACAGAGCAAGTTTCAGGACAGCCAGGATTGTTACACAGAGAAGCCCTGTCCTCAGGGGTAAAAAAATTCAGTTTCAGCCCACTAGCTTGTTTAAAGCCTTGCCTTCCTTTGGGCTCTCATGCTTGATGTTGTGGGCGAAGGACCCACCGGTGGGCTAAGAGCATGAACTACCTTGTCTAGCACTGGCCAATTGCAAAAGAGAACACACATACACAAACATACACATCAAATTGGTGGGAAGGATATGAGGCTAGGCAGGATTCCAGCTTGGCAAGCTCTCCTCTCTCCTCCTCTTCTCCACCCTCTGCAGCAGGAGCCAGGGGTTCCCACACCCGGGTATTCCACGCTCCTCTCTTCATGCTCGCCTGTCCCTCCTCCTGGGCCCCATGCCCCTAAAATGTCAGCCTCTGCAGCCACTTGAAGTGTGGGCCCAACCCAGTCCAACTTGGCCAGGGTCACATGACTTCCAAGGAAGAATCTCCACTGGCAGCTCCCCTTGGGGGATTGTGTTTGTGTGAGTGTTGGGGGGCAGGGTGTAGGGGGGAATGGGATTCCAGTTCCAAAGTATAGGCTTCTCAGAATACAGGACATATAGAGGGGCAAGCCAGGCTAGACCCAAGACACTGACCACTGACTTACTAGAGAAAGCTGCCTCCTCCATCTGGAAGGCAGGCCAGTTTGAGGACACAGTTATAAGGAAGGGCAGACTATATTCTGGGACTCTCTTTAAACTACCTCTCCCATCACCTGGCTCAACGTTTCCCTCCTAGCACTTCGAGCCTGTATCCCGACCCTACGAGAAAAATCTCAGACACTCTCACACACAGGTGTTCCTTGGCACGATCCGATACCTGTCAGGGAAAGTTGTGACTTTAATTTGGGTCCTCAAGTTTTCACTTTGGGAGGGGGTCAAGCATTGCTCCCCCAACTCAAATCTGCAAACCACTCTTAACCTCATGGCCTACCTGGAACTGGTACATTCCCCCTCCCACGAAGACAGGTAGCAGACCCAAGGGCCCAATTATCTGACACCCCCTAGGAGTGCTTTCAGTCCCTCAGGAGGGCCAACCTTCCCTGGCAACAGACAGGAAAAGTTACGGGGTGGGGGGTAAGATAGGCTCCAATCAACTCCTCCCCCAAACAGCATCCTAAGAAACAGCCCGAGGGGGGGAATGTCACAAAATATGTAAGAGGCAATAAGCAGCAGGGAAGGGGGGGAAACCCAAATCAGCCAATCAGAACTCTACGATGACCTGAGGGGGGGGTCAAAAGTCCAAAGTCACTTCTGATTGGCTAACACCCTGGAATTCTGGGAATTTCAGTCCCCCCCCAATCCCTCCCCAGTTAGCCTCCCCCCTCAAAAAAAAAAAATACAAGCCATCCTTAGCACCCCCTTCCCATGCCG